TTTTTGTGGATTGTTCTTTTGTTAAAATTGTGGAATTATTCCATTGAATTTTATGGCAATTATCAAATGCATGTTGACAAATGTGTGATTTATGATATTCTCTGTTTTTTATGTATCATTGGTGTTCTTTGAGTCTTTTGTGTAATGGTCTTGAGGTTTCTCCTATATAAAATTTATTGCATTCAAAAGAAATTTTATAAATTACATTTTTTGTATTTTCAATTATATCATGAGGTTTTGTTCTGAAATTTTACTTCTAATTGTATTTTCAGTTTTGAAGATAGTCCTAATATTACATTTTTTACCTACTCGTTTAATTTGATCTGAAAGTCCCGGAATAAATGGAATGAAAAGGTTCGTAATAGGTTTATTTTGATTTTGTTTTGTTCGTGGGAATTCTAAATAAAAAAAAATAATTCAAAATAAAAAATAACTAAACAGCGTGCTTCCTTTCCAGCCAAATGGGGAGTTGGAGAACCTGAAACTGCTCGATCATCAACTGATTAGAGACACAACTCCCGTTCATGATCTCTCCTACTTTTTGTACTCTGGAGGGTCCAAAGCGGACTTTGACAAACTGGATGAGTATCTGGAGCTCTACTATCGGAGTTTTTCCAGTTTCGCCACGGAGCTGGGATTTGATCCGAAGGAACTGTTTCCCTTCGAGGCGTTGAAGCGCGACTGGAAGCGGTTCGCTCTTATGGGCGTTTTTATGGGGATTATGCTGTGGGAGGTCAAGTTCATGTCCAAGAAGGAGATACAGAAATTGGGCGTTGGTACCACTGATGAGCAGGAAATGCAGAAAAGCTACACCGAGTATGCCAAAGTGGTTCGCCAGCATCCGGAGTTTCTCAAGAATATTAGCAATATCATCATCCATGCAGCTGAATATGGAGTAATTTAAGGCGATTTGTCCAGAGCGCAATTTTAATTGCATTATGAAATGTTGTGTTAGTAATTGTAAGCGATTGATTAGCCGTTGCGCAATACCTATCGTCACCTAAAAAACTGTCTACTTGCGTATTAGTTAATGCTTATCTAATCTGTCCAACCTTCTCTAAATATATCACGCCAAACCTTTTGCCCAACCAAACCTTTTGCCTACTCAAAACCGTATGAGTTTTAAGTGAGAAGACATCATGACTGCATCTGAACGAGTTCAAGAGATTTTAAAGCTGGTCGCTGAAGCTGAAGGAGTACAAACTTGTGAAATCTTCGCTAATGATACTGTTTTCAATGGTGATGGAGGTTCAAGTGAATGCTTTCGAGGCTCCATTCAGAGCAAAGATGCGAACGGCGCGAAGATGATCAAGGTGTTCATCAAAGTGAAGCCACCAAGACAAATGGCAATTACTGGAGCTGTTTTTATAAACGAGGTGAATTTCTATTCGAAAATTTACCCGGAATTGGACAGATTCCAACGACTCCGGGGCGTTGAGCAGCCTTTTGATAAAATCCCCAAATTCTTCTGTGGCAGTCTGGAGGAGTCTCGGGAGTACTTGGCTTTCCCCGATTTACAAGCAGAAAACTACACTCTTTTCGAAAAAAGCCAACCCTTGGACGAAAAACACCTGCAAGCTATATTTGCGACTTACGGCAAGTTCCATGCGCTGACTTTCGCATATAAAGCCAGCAATCCAGAAAAGTACCGAGAATTAACAGCCCCAGCTTTTGATATTTATGGCACCCTTTTGGAGAGTAGGACAAAGGACATGAAGGGCACTTTCCAAACAGTACTGGACTACATTAAAGATACCGATCAACAAGGCGCTGACAAAGTTCAGATGTTTTTAGACGACTTTGAAACTTCCAGATCAAGAGGCTGTAAGTATGAGGGTCAATATTCGGCTTGGAATCATGGAGATTGCTGGTCAAACAATCTGCTGTTCAAATATCTGGTTAGTAGCCTTTAGCGACTATTCGCTGATTAGCTCTTTGATTGATTTGTGGTCTTTGCAGCCGAATGGGGACTTGGAGGACTTAAAACTCCTCGACCATCAATGCGGAAGAGATTCGACTCCCGTCCATGATCTGTCTTACTGTTTCTACTCCGGAGCCTCCAAGCCCGACTTTGATAAACTGGACTACTATCTGGATTTGTACTACCACAGTTTTTCGAAGTTCGCCAAAGAATTGGGCGCTGATCCAGACAAACTGTTGCCTTTGGAAGCTCTGAAAAGCGACTGGAAAAAGTACGCACTTATGGGCATTTACATGGCCTTCATGGTCTGGGAGTTCAAGTTGTTAGACAAGAACGAATTCCAGGCTAGAATTGCTGAAACTTCGAAAGGTCAAGACATGATGGAAGAATTTTTTGATATAATTAAGAAAAGCCGAGAGCATCCTTCATATAAGAAGACTCTTGCGGATATTTTGATCCACGCCGTTGAATATGGGATAATTTAGCAACCGATTAAATGGCCCAAGTGTTTGCCTGTTTATTTAAATAAATACTAGCACATTTCAGTTCTCCCTCTTCGAAACAAGTTTTGCTGAATAATTTCGACTGATTCTTAGATCAGACCCAGTGGTTACACAGCAGATAACTCGGCGTCTAGTGCCAATTTAATGAAAAAATCGATCTTGTGAAACTTTCAAGTTCACACTTACACTTTTTAAGGACAGTGCGTTTAAATAGCAAGAATTATCCAGGATCTCCTGCGATTTTAACAAAAATTTGTCAATTCTCAGATTCAACTCACTACTATATTCTGCGAAACTTTCCAGTTCGTACTTGTCTTACAGTGGTAGTTACAAATGTTTAAAGAAAACCACGCTTTTAACTAGGGACGTTCATTTTATCTCCGTGTAAGCGGCACTCAACAAACAATTCAGACCCTAATGCGATTTTAACGAAAAGTTTTCAGATCCCAGATTCAAGTCCCTAATATGCCTTGCTAAACATTGAAGTTTATACTTGTTCCCCATCAGTGATTGTTTAAGAAGATCGCGCTTGACTCGCGTTGGAACTGCGGAGAAAAGAGAATCGAGTAATGATTTGGATCAGAACGTCCCAATTCGCAGATTTAACAGCAATGTTCTGCAAAACTTTCAAGTTCTTACTTGCATCAAGTTGGGATATACAAATTTTTGAAGAAAAGCGCGCTTTTGACTAGATACCTTCATTTGTAGACCCGCGTTGAAACAGCAGGGAGAAATCAGGGTCACGGGCAATTTTAACAAAAAAAATCTCATTTCTCAGGTTCAGCTCTTTACTATATCTTGTGGAACGTTCAAGTCCATACTTGCCTCACGTTAGTAGCTACGAATCTTCTAAGGCAATCGCAACTGTATTTTAAGTCTCGCGTTTAAACAGCGGGAAAAAATCAGAATCTGTTGTGATTATATTGTAAATTTCTGAGTTTTTAGACTCAAATGTCTGTTATATTTTGCAACACTTTTAACAGACGCTTAGTCTGCGAATTAAGAAATGTACACCAAAATTGCAACTAGAATATAAAAAGAACGAACCCACTCGAAAGCGCACTCGCTTTAAAAAATTCGTAACTACTAACTTGGGCTCCAACGAAATTTRGAAATTTTTCGAGATATAGAAAATTATCGGCTTTGAGAATGGCAAAATTTTCATTACAATSGCACTAGATCCTAATTTTTTTCAACGTTTTAAACGCGCRTCTAAAAATGAACGTTACAAGTCAAAAGCRCGCCCTCTCTAAAAACTTCTTATACGAGCCTCCACAAAGTGGAAAGTTTCYATAAATTRCAAYCTATAATACAATACAATTGCATCTAAAAAAAAAAGAAATTGTCATTAGAATCACACTAGATGCTGATTTTTTTCTTGCTGTTTAAATGCGAGTGTAAAAATGAACGATTCCAGTCAAAAATGAGCTTTCTTTTAAAAAATTGTAAATTCTTCTCTGGACCGCCGAGGTTTGCAAGGCTTAGCAGAGGGCCGACTCTGAGGATGGGGAAATTTTCATTGAAATCGCACCAGATTCTGATTTTTTTCCTACTATTTAAATGCGCGCGTTTTTAAAATAAATGTTTCCACTCAAAAGCGCGATTTCTGGAAAAAATTAGTAACTACTAACCAGAGCCGCAATAGAATTTAAAAAATTTCCGAGATATAGTAGATTCTTCGGTTTAAGATTGGCGAAATTTGCATTAAAATCGCACTAGATCTTTTTTTTTTGTCTTTTAAACGCGTCTAAAAATGAACGTACCAGTCAAAAGCGCGCGGTCTCTAAAAATACCATAATTTCTAATCTGAGCTCTCTACAAAGTTGAAAGTTTTTCCAGAAATTTTACATAATTGCATGTGAGAACAAAGTAAATTTGCTTTGGAATAGCACTAGATACTGATTTTGTTTTGCTGTTTAAATGCGCGTCTACAAGAACGATCCCAGTAAAAAATGCGCATTCTTTAAAACATTGTAACTTCTACTCTGGGCCGCGTACGAAGTTTCCCAAGATTTAGTACAAGCACGAATCTGAGGATGCGGAAATTTTCATTGAAATCGCACAAAATTCTGATTTTTTTCTGCTATTTAAACGCGCGTCTAGAAATGAACGTTTGCAGGCAAAGGCGCGCCTTCGTTAAAAAATCGTAACTCCTAATCTAGACCGCGTACGAATTAAAAATTTTCTGCAAACATAGCAGATATGCGAATCTCAGAAAAGAAAAAACAATTGCCAAAACCACAATACATTCTGATTTTTTCCTGCTATTTAAACGCGCGCGTCTATAAAATGAATGTTTCCACTCAAAAAGTTGCTCTCGGTAAAAAAATCGTAA